CCAGATAAAGAGTTGCTGCTACCAAAAGGTATGTCCATTTTATTTATTTATTTTTATTTTTGAGATAGAATCTTGCTGTGTTGCCCAGGCTGGAGTGCAGTGGCGCTATCTCAACTTACCACAACCTCTGCCTACCAGGTTCAAGCGATTCTCATGCCTCAGCTTCCAGAGTAGCTAGGACTACAGCCACCACGCCTGGCTAATTTTTGTATTTTTTTGGTAGAGACGAATTTTACCATGTTGGCCAGGCTGGTCTCGAACTCCTGGCCTCAAGTGATCTGTCTGCTTCCGCTCCCCAAAGTGCTGGGATTACAGATGTGAGCCACCATGCCAGGCCAGGTACGTCCATTTTAAAGTTATGTAAATACTGCCAAACCGGCCCCATCGAGGATGTGCCCATCTGCATCTCACTGGCAAGTAGATATATGAGTGCCCATTGCCTTCCTCTATCATTGTTGAAAATTTTCTTGATATCTGCCAATCTGAAAGGTGAAAAATAGTATTTCATTGTGGCTCCGATTTGTTTTCTTTTCCTTTAAGTGGATGAGGTTGAGCATGTTTTCAAATGTTTAGTCCATTTGTTTTATAATGGGGTTTTAAAAACTTGATAAAATGCTTCCAGTGTTGACCTAGAATAGTCAATGGACAAGGTAGTCTGGATTCCTTTACATTTTAATTTTACTTATAGATTTTTAAAATAGTTAATACAGTTACAAGATTCAAAATTTTAAAGGAGTATAAGAGTAGAGACAAACCCCCAATCCGTGTGTCTCCCCAGTGCCCAATTCCTGTCCCCAAACACAATCAGGCCTCCATTTGCCTCAATTTCTCCCTCCTGTGTCCATGGGCCACACCATTATCCTTAGCTGCTCCATCTCTGAAATATTAAATTCAAACATTCCACTCTGATCTCGCCACTGTCCCCTTAACCACCCAGCACCTGACATTCAACCTCATCATGACTCCTCTCTTGACATCCCACCTGCCCTTGACCTGACCTTCCTTTCCCATCTAGCTGAGGTTCTCTGCTCTCCAGAGGCTCCATGTTGGGCCCCACTGGCCTCCAGCCACACTTGTCTGGAAAGCTTTACTTTCTGTTTCACGATACCTAGTTTAGAGTCAGCCTACCCAGGGATTACTCTCATTTAAAAGTCTTGGCTGGGCTTGGTGGCTCGTGCCTGTAATCCCAGCACTTTGGGAGGCCAAGGCAGGTGGATCATGAGGTCAGGAGTTGGAGAGCAGCTTGACCAACATGGGGAAACTCCATCTCCACTAAAAGTGCAAAAATTAGCTGGGTATGGTAGCGTACACCTGTGATTCCAGCTTCTCAGGAGGCTGAGGCAGGAGAATCACTTGAACCCAGGAGGGGGAGGTTGCAGTGAGCCGAGATCGTGCCATTGCACTACATCCTGGGTGACAGAGTGAGACTCTGTCTCAAAAAAAAAAAAAAAAAAGAAATCTTAAGCAGAGTAACCATATAATTTACTGTTCAAACTAGGACCCTTTTAAGAATGAAAGGAACACTATTTATTATGAAGCCAAGACAATATAGGGAGATGGCTACTGTCCAAGGCAGATTGGGATGCAAATTCAAGCTCAGTTGTAAGGAACAATTACATTTAATTTCAGAGCAGAGTTCAATAATATGTGCTGAGCCCAGCAAATGATTTAAGTTGCTGCCTTTGTTTACTGCCCAAGCTTCTCTTCTAAATGAATTTTTTAAACAGTGCATTTCTGCAACACTATTTTCTTAAAAATCTATCCTTTAGAATATCAGTTTCAGCACCTAAAGTGTGTGACAAAAATTAGTTTTTAAAAAAAATTATCCTTCGTCTATACTTGAGCCCCCCCTTCAAAAAGGTGTTGACCCTTAATCCCATTCAGTTCTGAGTTTCCTTTGCAGTTTCCATTTTGAGTTTGAAGTGGGTGGAGTGCAGGGTTCTAGACTCTCAGGGACCTGCAAAGGGTCCTGCCCTTGATGTCATCTATCCTGGTCCTGGGTCGTTGGTGCCTAGAGGTTATTGTGGAGGTCAAAGTCTCTCTCCACCTCTTCATGCAGCCTCAGGGAGCTTGCCTAGGGTCCTCTTGGCCTAGATACACCCAGCAGCCATTCTCTTTTCCTCTGGGAAGCAAGACACAGGCCCTCTTCTGTTCTTAGATCCACAGATCGTGATGGATGCTGCTTGGAGAGGCCGAGAAGCATCCCTCACCATCTGTGGAACTGAGAACAGAAGATTTGGGACCTCAGCCTCCAGGACCTAGCAAAGTCAATGTTTCTCAACTTCCATCTGGCCCTTCTCCTTGCCCTGGGAAATTCTTCTTGGATATGAGGGGTAGGGGACAACCTTGATCTTTCTCATGACCATTTTCTCCCCTACTTTGGTTTAGGTCTAGGCCAGAAGTCTTTTCTACTCCCCTAAGGAAAGAGGCTTCTTCCCTCTTCTTTCTGTTTTCACACACCCTCCCTGCAGCAATGAGCATAGAGTGGCCTGGCTATTTGAGGCAGGGAAGGGAGAGACATAAAGGGAATATCAGGCTGGAGGAGGCATTGGCTAATATTTCAGAGCATTATCTTGCAAGGCATATAAAAATATCTTTTAAAAGATGTGCTTTCAGTTTTAACTATTATGATTTTATAATGTTTCAGATCTTGTAGGCAAGACTCCCTACTCCCATCCCCCAGGCCAGGGCAGCCAGTTATCAGCTGTGCGAACTAGGGCAAATTTTGTTATCCTCTCTGAGCTTTAGTTTCTTCTTCTGTAAATGAGGATAATAGTAGTTCATATCAGTGCTTCCACTTGCCAAGCAATGTTCTCAATGTATTATTCATGTTAGCTCATTTAATACTGACCATAAACCTATGGGATAGCTGCTATTATTCCCATTTTACAGATGAGGAAGCCACTTCTTGAAGTAGTAGGTAACTTGCCCAAAGTCATGTGATCTGCTCTTAACCACTACCCCAGTCTTTCATAAATACTAATAATGACCTCAGCCAGGCTTAGTGCCTCACACCTGTAATTTCAGCACTTTGGGAGTTTGAGGTGGGAGGATTGCTTGAGCCCAGGAGTTTGAGATCAGCCTGGGAAACACATTGAGAGCTCATCTCCACAAAAAATTAAAAAGTAGCCTGGACTGGTGGCACCTGTGTATGGTCCCAGATACTTGGGAGGCTGAGGTGGGAGAATCGCTTGAGCCTGGGAAGTCAAGGCTGTAGTGAGCTGTAGTAATACCACTGAACTCTAGCCTGGGTGACAGAGTAAGACCCTGTCTCCAAAATAAATAAATAAATAAATAAATAAATAAAATGACCTCATGAGGTTGCTGTGAGGATTGAGGTAAAGTATGTTAAGCTCTCAGCCCAGAACCTAGAACATAGTAAAAACTCAACAAATTCTAAGATAATACTTCAGCCATAACTTTTTGGTCATTTTCATTCAAAATGTCCTTGGAATTGTATTTAAAATGTATATAAATGTCTGAATTTAAGCGTATGTGCCCTATTCAGTTTTCCCATCCAGAAATATGACGTCTTATTACACGTTTCTTAGCAAAGTTTTGCCATATATCCTCATATAAAACATGCATTTCTAGGCAAGTTTATTTCTAGACGTTTTAGGGTTTTTGTTATTATTGAAAATGAAATCTTTTCCTCCGTTGTATCTTTTGATCAGACAATGCTGGTGTCTCCAGGTTCTTGTTAATTAATCACTTCCCAGATGTCTCTAGAGGGATGGCTTTCCATAGCCCTCTGATTTTAGGTTGACATGAAGATCATTTGGCTCAGCCAGCGATATGCTCTGCCAGAGAGGCACAGGGGCACAGGGTGAGGAGTAGCTTTCCAGGGGTAGCTCAGCTTGGCTGAGGTGATCAGAGAACTGTCCCTTGGCTAAGGAAGTACAGCCTGGGGAGAGGGGAAGGAAGGGGTCAGCCCTTGGCTGCATGCTGGTTCTGGGTCCATTTGGGGATCTGTCTGAAGGATGAGTTCCTAGGTACTCACATTTCTTCTGTGGCCTCAATGATTCCCAATTGTGTTTGCCAAATGATAGCTTCAGTGGCAGCTCCGCCAAGACCCAAGATACCTCCTTGGGGTCTGGCTCACTTAAGTAGCAGGACTGTCCTGCAATGCCTCATCCTTCTCTGTGGGAGATGCGTAGTCTGTGGCGTCACTGAATCAGCTCCCTCCCTGCCTCCACTGCAGGCCTCCAGAGGGCAGCAAAGAGCAGGCGAGAGAAGAGAACAAGACTTGGTTCCTGAAGGAGCAACAGAGACCGCCCCGCTCCTCAGGATAGACACATGAGCCTCTTCCTGAGGGCATAATAATTATAATAATATTATTAGTTAATACGAACTATTCCCTGTGGGGCAGATATCGACCTAAGATTTCACACTGATTGAGATAACCCGTGACATAGATATAATTATTATTCTCGTTTTTTTCAGCTGAGGAAATTGCAGTGAAACAAAAACAAAAAAAAGTTACCCAAGGTCCCACAGTTAATTGAGTCAGGATTTGGACCCAATCATTTATGAGACAGGTTCTATTCTAGATATCAGAGATACATTAGTGAATAAGACAAACTTTCTGCCATATTAGAGGAACAGACAAAAAGTGAACAAATGAATAAACACATGATGTGGTTTTGGATAGAAATGCCATTTAGACAAATAAAGCAGAGTTAAAGACCAGAGAGGGGCATTTTAGATGGGCTGGTCAGGGAAGGTGTTCTTGGGTAGATGCCATTTGAACAAAGAGTTGAATACATGAGGGAGCAAGTCAGGCTGAAGATTGGGGAAGCAGTAAGTGCAAAGGTCTTGAGGTAGGAATGAACCTGGGGTGTTAGAGGAACAGCAAGACTTGCATTGTGGCTGGTGTAGAGTGAGCTAAGTCCACAGCCACAGCAGCAATTGGGCATCTACAGCATCACCTGGGCTTGTCCGCTTACAGTGTCTACAGCATCTCTTTAACATATCTCTCATCTTTTTTCACCTTCCTTCAGAGTGCTGACACCATCGCAGTATGTTCTTTTCTCAACCCTGGACACAGTTCAAAAGTAGCTAAAGCAGACAAGAATCTGGGGCAGCCAGTATTGTACCACCTGCCAAAGCTTGGGACAAACAATCTGGGAGCCAAAAATTATACATACTGGGGTGAGTCTTGCCTAACCTGTGGGGAACTTCTTGTGAATAAAGGTTCTAGATAAGCCTGCCAGGGCCTCCAAGTAAAGCTATAGTCCAACTAACAAGGGCCTAAACCCTGCAAGCCTCTCCAGGGTAGGAAGCTGCTTTTTTCTTCACAGAATTTTGCCCCTATGCCACGGTCCTATGTCAGACCTACCCAAATCCTTCCAGATGTCAAACCCAGGTGGGGTTCAGATGGCATTTAGCCAGGAGATGGAAGGGAATCTGTCACAGTGAGCAGCCATCACCATCCGCCAGGTATCCAAAGAAAATGGAGGCACAGAGGTCAAATGTTGTAAATTACAGTCGTCCCTCAGCATCTGCAAGGGATTGGTGCCAGAACCACCTGCAGATACCATAATCTGAGGATGCAAGTCCTTCACATAAAATGTGACCTATGCACATCCTCTGTTTACCTGAAATCATCTCTAGATTACTTATAATACCTAATACAATGTAAATGTGATGTAAATAGTTTTTCATACTGTATTTTGGGGGTATTTGTATTATGTTTTATTATTGTATTCTTATTTATTTTTATTTTTTCAAATATTTTTGATCTGCTCTGGGTTGAGTCCTTAGATTAGGAAACTCTGGATATAGAGGGCCAACTGTACTAAAAATCTTTATCTCCCCTTCCTGTCAGATCCCTAGCGAGTGAGGTGGGCCTATGTTGAGTGCTCCTTTTGCCTGAGTGAGAGCCTAGAACCAGAGACAAATGCCCCAGTTCAGGATTTCTTGACCATGACACCATTGATAGTTGGGGTCAGATAATTATTTTTTGTGGGGGCCATCCGTGTAGATGTTAGCAGCATTTCTGGCCACTACCTACTAGAGGCCAGAAGTACCCTCTCTCCAGTAGTAACCTTCCTTCCAGTGTTACCAAAATAAATCCAGACATTGCCAGATGTGCCCAGGGAAAGACACCTCTGGCTGAGGTCCACTGGGGCCATTTCTTTCCCTTTCCCCAAGGGCAATGCATGAACCTCAGCTGTTGCCACTCTGGTGGTGAGGAAGGGTTGACAGTATCTGCCAAGCATTTACTCCAGTGCCACAACTGAGTGGCTGACTTGGCATGTCCTTGGCTGTAACATGGGAGGAGGCCAGAGGGCAAGGAGCGAGAGAAAAGGGGTACCCATATCTTCTCTCAATCTTTTTTGGCTCACAAAGCTAAACCACATGGAAGTTGGCCATATGCGTCACAGGACTAGGTCTTTCTTTCCCTCCTGATTTCTCTCTCTTTTATGCACATACATGCCCACACACGTGTGCATGCATGTGCACACACACAGACACCCCTCTGCCATTCTGTGTATTGGCTTTGTTCTCTCCTGATAAAGACAGTTTTTCTTCAGAGATGAAACAGAACTTAGTGCAGGAGGAAGAAGTTGACAAATGGGCTGATTTTGCCCAAGAGATTGGCAAGGCAGGAATAAGAGGTTATGGATATCAATGAGAAAAGAGAGGAAAGGATTCATTATGACGTCCAGACCAGAAGAGAAAGCAAATGAAGCCACGAGGAGCTGGTATATGGGGAGAAGAGGAAGATGCTTGAAGATCGGAGGTCTTCATCCAGTTGAAAAGCAGGAAAGAAGGGAGTCAGAGCTTAGGAAATAATCCACTAAGGGTCCCAACATCTGACCCAGCACTATCAATATGGTGTTTATTTTTGCTTCAGTGATAAGTCCACTTAGACCCATAGAATCATAGGGCAGTAGAGCTTGAAAGAAACTTAAGAGATCCTTGAGTCCAACCCAGTCTGTGTGGGCTCTTTTATTCATTCTTCAGTGCAGGACTTTGAGAATGATGTTTGTTCACAATCCCTCTGTACTTGGAATCAAATGAGAAATAAGATACAGAAGTCCAGCAGCTAGAACTTAAAATAAATTTACAACAGCTAAAACTGACTGGAAAATGTAGTTTTGACTGTACAATTGGGCTTCCTAATCCTTTCCCTCAGAATGAAACTTATCCACCCAGAACTGGAAGATCCCTTATCCCACAAGGCAAGAACCTGCCCTCGGAAGTTTACCATGAAAAGAAGAGGAGAGGAGGGAAGCACAGGCCTTCTGTGGGGAGGCTGTTCCCAGAAGGAAGAAACCCAGAAGAACCTGAGACATGACCTATGCCCATTTTATATGCTCCAGTTCTTCAAGCACATGAACCACTCATCCTCTGCTAGATAGTATGAGTTAGGAGGTAGAGCAGTAAGTGGAGAGTACTTTTCTCAAGGCTTCAGCAAGGACAGAAGTTCCCATTTTATAAAGTGAGGTAAAATTGCTTGGCGGGAGTGAGGTAGATTTCTCCCTAACAGATACCATTTAATAGAGCAAACTGCTTCAAGAACACTGAGGCCCAGAGAGGCGAAGTGATTTCCCAAAGGTACCATGGCTCTGAAAGAATAAGGTTCTCCAGACTCCTAGTCATGAAGTTTTACCATTTCACATGTATAATCAAAGGAGGGCAGGCTCTTCCAGGTTTATCAGCGTAATAGCAACAATAATCTTCTATTTCATCATGCACAAGGATTTCTGACTGCTTCCTTCATCACTATCACTGCCTCCACATCCTCCATCTACACCTTGACACCTCTATCTACACATCACACCCTCATCCACACCTCACCACTACCATCTATACCTCACCACCCTCACCTATACCTCACCACCTACACCATACACCTTAATGTAGACCTCATTGTCTCCATCTAGACATCACCACCACCATCTAGATCTCAACAGTCTCACCTATACCATACCACCTATGCTTATGTCACACACCTCCATCTAGACCTCACCACCTTCATCTAGACATCACCATCTACACCTCACCACCCTCACATATATCTCACTACCTACACCACACACCTCCATCTAGAACTCACCATCTCCATGTAGACATCACCATCACCATCTACACCTCACCACCCTCACCTATATCTCACCACCTACACCTACACCACCCACCTGCAGTTAGACCTCACCATCTCCATATAGACATCACCATCACCATCTACACCTCACCATCACCATCTACACCTCACCATCACCATCTACACCTCACCACCCTCACCTGTACCTCACCACCTACACCTACACCACACACCTGCAGCTAGACTCACTACCTTCATCTAGACATCACCACCTCCATCTAGACCTCACCATCACCATCTACACCTCACCACCCTTCTCCATACCTCACCACCTTCATGGGTACCTCATACCTCCATCTATACCTCACACCTTCATCCATACCTCACACCACCATATACTTCCTCACTATCTCCATCTCCACCTCATACCTCTGTCTGCAACTTACCACTTCCATCTATATCTCATCACTTCCATCTACTCCTCACCACCTCCATCTACATTTCACCTGTCCATCTACACCTCACACTCATCTACATCTGATCACTTTCATATATACCTCATCATCTCCATTTACACCTTACGCCACCATCTATACCTCATCACCTCTATCTATACCTCATACCATCATATATACCTCACCACCTCTCTCTACATCTCATCATCTCTATCTACACCTCGCACCTCCATCTACACCTCACATCACCTCCATATACACCTCACCTTCTTTATCTACATCTTACGCCACATCTATACCTCAACACCTCCATCTACACCTCACCATCTATCTGTCTACATATCCTTGTCTCCATCTACAACTTACCACCTTTATCTACATCTCTTCACCTCTATCTGCACCTCACACCTCCATCTATACTCCATATCTCCATTTATACCTCATCGCCTGCATCTGTACTTTATAACTCTGCCTGTACTTCACACCTTCATCTATGCCACCACCATTTTACTGCTACTTCTACAACCATATCTCTGCCTCTGTCATTTTCTCCATCATTCCCACCACCTCTCCTTTTGTCAACAGACAGACAGCAACCATCCTTTTGGGTGGTGTGGCAGGTGTGGACTAGGAGACTACCTGCATGGCTTTAGTCTAGAGAGGTCTTCAAGGTCTTTGAGATTAAAAAAAAAATGCCTCTAGCTTTTGGTGTCACCTGATCCCTCCAAAAATATCACCTTGGAGCATTTTACAAAGATTGAATCAGAGATACCTAAAAATAAGCACACATGTTTATATAAACTCATTGACCGCAAGTATAGACTGCCACTATTTCTAAGTCATGCCCTAATCTGACAGCTGAACATTTAGGTACTTGCAATGTGATAAGATCTTTTACCGACATCTCAGCAGTCCTCAAAGCTCTAACAATTTAACAGTTGGAGACATTCAAGTGAGCTGTAATTTTGAGCCAACTGGGGTCACCCTAGTACGTAACAACAGGTCCAGGTCCTGGAAATGCCACTGCCCCTCTCTGGGCCCCAATTTTTCATTGTATAAAATGGGCAACCTTGAGATAGGGCTGGATTCTCCAAGTTCTCTTCCAGTTCTATCATCTCTCCAAGACAGAATTCAAAAAGAATCTGGGATAAAAATTATGCAGGGAGATAAAATAGCATTTCAAAATCAAGGCTGGAATATATCACTGCCGTAAAACGATCACCAAGTTAAAATCAAGAAGAAAGTTAGAGCAAAGGCATCTGCCTATGATCATGGCCAGCCCTGTTCAGACCCTGCTATACCCTGATCTGTCAGTCAACCAGGCATCCATCCCTGACCCTGCAGAAGCGTCCCTCCCCCCACCTTGGTCACATGGCTGGCCGCCACTGAGCCTCAGAAGTCAATCTCCAATGCCCCAAATACTGTTCAGCCTGGAAACCACAGAGAGCCCTTCTTGCCACCCAACAGGAACAGAGCAAGTGGTTCTGGCCTCCCTGAGATTTGGATCCTGGTTCCCAGAGCTAAGAACACAAAGGTAAGTGTGCAGCTGGAAGCTTCAGAGAAAGTAGACAGAACTATGCAGATAAGGGAAATGTGCTTCATAGCATGAACACAGAGTATTTAAGAGTGAGCTTCACACACAC